GTGTGCATGATATGAAATCAATCACCACATAGGTGGTTGATCATGTCTTGAGAAAGTCATATCAAGGTCTGGCTGAGTCGTACGGAAAAATTAAATGGATAAACGTGTCGAAGATAGCAAGAAAGGTTAGATTCTCTCTCGGGTGCAAGATCCGCTTACTTTGTTTATACACTTTCCGGCGGTGCAATTCCAGAAAAGTGTAACAGCCAAAACGGAGCCGCAGGTGGGATGTCCTGAAAATCCTTTGGTGTCCCATTGGTGTAATTAGTGTTATTTAAGGCGTAAAGCGAATCAGTCTCCTAAGAGCCTAGGCGAGAAGCGAGAAGTGAAGCGAGCGCTTCATTAAAGCAAAACAAACAATATTAAAAATAAGTAAATATTTTAGTTTCATACTTTGATTACTCTAAAATATTCAAGTTTTAACTTTACAAATATAAAATATTTAAATGCAACCAAAATAATAAACATCAACATATTTTAAATAGACAAGATATTAAATATTGAACATTATTGTATTCTAAAAATAATCAATTGACATAATCACGTCATCTAAATGTAAAGTTAGCAAATATGGATTTGACTTCCACCGTGATTGATTAATATTACCATTAAACAAAGCACTCACAAATTGATTAATCAAATAGAGCATATAGCAAATTGATTAACAAAAGCATTCACCTCAAAACAAAGCATTCAACATTATCTATTCATAATAAGATAGATTGTCATATGATATTGTTACACGAATCAATTAATTTATTTTATACATGTACACATATAACATCATTTTTGCTAGGGTTTTGTTAATGTTAAAAAAGAAGGAGGAGAAGGAGGAGGAGGAGGAGGAGGGGAGAAAGGGATGAGAAAATAAAAAAATTGCAGTTAGGCATTCGCTTTTCTCGCCTGACTCGCTTCGTCGCCTAAGCTCACTTTACTTAACCTCGCTTTGCCTTGGATGTTCAAGGCGACCTAGGCTCGTTTCGCTTTGCTTCTCGCCTAGGCTCGCTTTTCACAACATTGGGTGTAATACCATAAATCATCTCCCCACAAAGACACACAAAAATGAATTAATTAGTCATTGAGTGTACATAACACCAATGACGGGGGCTTGGAATGCCTGAATACATACGCATGACATTGCATATGTTGTGGAAGCTCAGGATGAGGCTCGGTGTTTGTATTACTTGCATGAATCTCATCTCATGGCATAACATGATTTATGACATTTGTTTATAATAGATATATTTGAATGAATGCATGAAATGATTGTTACATGTGACATTTCATATGCATTTGGGTTGGGAGGTATTTTCTATAGAAGTTACTTTATTGAGCGTTAGCTCACCCTTTATGGGAATATTTTTCAGGTATCGCACAGGCGTCCACTGAAGGCGAGGCCATGGGCCCGCTTCGACGACAGAGCCAGTCTGTGACTCTTATTTTGACTCTATAGTTCCTTGTATATGTTTACTTTTGGCATTGTATAAATTTTTGTAAACAAAAACTTCTTTTATATTAAAAAGACATATATATGAGACTCTTTTGAGACATTTATTCTTTTATGAATGAATGCACGTAGTGATGATGATTATGGTAGTATTCGATACTATGTTGTTGAGTATGGATGAATGGGCTCGATGTAGTCAATATTGTATGATTGCACATGTTAAATTTTAGGTAGAGCTCCTCATACAAAGGAGATTCTGCCCAAATTTTATTTAAGTTATGGACCCCCGGTAAATGGAGCATAACGGCATGGTATCGAATTACATAATACCCGTGGGTATTTCGTGGGTTGATAAAAGATCCCAAAATTAATTTTGATTCTAATTTTGTTTGAATTTTGCAACAAATTAACGAGATGTTGCTATGTTTCAACAAATAAGAGACTATGTTGATTGTAGGGGCGGATCTGAAAAATTATTTTTGGGTGAGCACTTAGACACTATAAAAAGTTTTTATTGTCTTTTACTTATGGTTAATAAAATTAATATTATACATTTATGCTTAATGACATCACGTTTGATATTTAGAAATTCACCCGAAAAAGGCCAAAAATCAAAAAGCACTTTGTATAAAATCATACCCATAAATTAAAAAAAATTAAAAATACTAATTATAAACTTTTACAAACAATGAGATTAATTAAAGTTATTTACAATTTTTTCTTTGAACTGGAACTATTTACAATTCATTCCAATAAATTTTCATATTTCATAAGTGAGGCGTTGTAGTCACTATTACTACTTGTTCTTCTCCCTTGTTTCTCTTTTCTCCCTATACTTTGTCCCGAAGTGTTGATTGTGTGGTTAGCTTCAAAGTTGTTAATAAGATAAATGACAAAAAAAAAAAAGGAGTCAATGTGGTGTGGATCATGGGTGGGCACCATTAGACAATGGGTAAGCACAACAAAAACAATATGAAAATTGTGTATAACATAAATAGCTGATTTTTTTTTTCAAGGTGGGCCAGTGCCCCTCTTGGGCTAGTGCTGGCTCCTCCCATGGTTGGTTGCTATGATTTGGTGCACTGTTTTTGCTATGATTTGTAAGGTGGTTTAGTTGAGAGGTGATAATAATTTCTTGTAATCGTGTTTCTTGTATTGGTTGTTTGTTGTGTTGTGAACTAGGGAACTACTAGTAAAGGGAAAAAAAGTGAGGTTGGATTGGATTATATTATTCTAATTATAATTATTTCATGTGATTTTTATATTAGCAGTACAATCAATATTGGTAGGTTTTAATTTTAGCACTGTCATTTGTAGACTGTATGAGAGAATAAATTTGTTGAACAAAATTTGTAGTACTATTACAACACGTGGACTTATTACAATGCAAGTTTACAGGGAGACAAATTTACATAATCAATGGAGCAACTCAAGAGAGCATGTGTGATATACATTAGATGTAGAATTGTAGTAATCAATGAGGGAATTAAGTGATCAGATCTAACTTCCTTCATTGATGAGGAGGAGAAGATAATTGGGAGAAGAAGATAGTGAGGGTATTAATGTAATTTAACTTTTTCTGTTAACAGTGTAATTTAACTTTTTCTGTTAACAGTGTTAGTTGTGTGAATTGGCTCAAAATTATTTGGCAGTTATGTGCTTATTTTGAACTACAAGGGGGCAATCCAAAAGGGAGTAAAATGGAATTTCCCCTAATAATTAAAAGATAAAACATATTTGATCTTACCATCTGTGCCCACCGCTGAATGGGGCTGTTAATCGAACTAAGTTGCTCGAGCTTATCTCGAGTTCAATTCGTTGTGGGCTCGTTCGAGCTCATTCAAATATTGTAATCAAGCTGAATATGAACATAAATTTAGACTTCTTTATAAACAAGCCAAGCTTGAGCTCGAATTCGAGCACCTCGAATGGCTTGACCAAGCTTAGTATTTTTTATCTAGTTTTACTATTATTTTTAGTAGTTCGATTATAACCGTCCATTCCAAAGATCCAACAGTGAGGACAATATATATATTAACCTGTCCAATCCTAATACACCCAAACCCAACTCTACTTCTCTCATTACCTCATCTGCGGCGCCTTCAAATTGAAACGGTCTGCCTCTCATCGGTAATTCTTTCGTGGATCAGGTACATAGCCATTCTATAAAGAGAATCTATATATCATTTTAATAAGGTAGAGGTGGAGCAATTGAGCGACTGGTGTTGTTTGTGCTGGTGCAGTGAACAAACAGTGTTTTTTTGTTTGAATTTGAGAACAATTACTTTGTGCGAATCTGAGCAAATCTGCCTCTCATCGTCTGAATTACTTTGTACCAATCTGTGCAAATCTGCATCTCAGCTGAACAATTACTTTGTGCGAACCTGCCTCTCGATCAGTTTCAGTTTGTGATCAGTTTGTGATTAGTTTCATGTTTGTGATCAGTTTCATGTTGCATTAAGTGGTGTTTAATTTGTTAAAATTCAAGCTTGTTCGCAAGCCTGAATTTGAATTCTTGGATCAAGCTTCATACGAGCTAGAGCTCGGATTCGAGCTTGTTAACATAAAACGAGCTTAATCAAGCCAAGCTTGACCTTTTCATTTTTCATTCAAGCCAAGCTCGAGCAAAAAATTAAGCTTGATGTTCGAGCTCAAGCCGAGCTTGAACAGCTTCCCAAAATGTCAAGCCGAGCTTGAGCATGGTGATGCTTGTTGAGCTTGGCTTGATTATCACCCCTAGTGCTGAACCTCCTCAACACCCCTATAAATCAGAAGAATGTCTTGTTGAACGTCCCTTCTTCCTTATCATTTCGTTATCTCAAAGTCTTTAATCAGGTTTGAAACTCTTCCTTCCACTCCAATTACTCCTCCTTTCTTTCCTACTTAATTCATTCTGGTCATTCTGCAAAAACTTTCCAGCCCTTTTTTTTTAAGTTTTCAGATCTCAAAAAAAAAAATATATGTACTTACTGTACACCACTCCTCCTTTTGGGATTTTGCTTTTGTTCTTTTTTTTTTCTAGTTTTTGATGGTCATGGTGGTCCCTTTTTGGTTGTAACTCGACTCGCAAAGTTTCTATCCTTATTGCCAGTGCTATACCACACTCTTCAATTATTATCTCTCTCTCTCACTCGTAGTATCTTCTAACTTTTTTGTTTTATTGGTTTCCATTTCACAGAGTTAGGGTAGAGTTTTTCGTTCAATCAAGCCATCCGATCCGAGCCTTCCAACAAATCCACGGAGGTGGACCACAAGTTCTTCAATGTTGGTCTCCTAGTCGTCGCGACTATTATAGTCGCAATATTGGTATCGGCACTTGTAATGCCCAAATCAAAGAAATGCCTCCCGCCGGTTGTCAAATCCTGGCCAGTCTTTGGCGGACTGGTTCGCTTCTTGAAAGCTGAGGTATTACATCTCTTTTGTTTGGTCGTTCAATTTTTCGGATCTACATTTTGGATTTTTGATGAACTTCTCTACTTTGGTCAATTTTAACTCCACAAATGCTAATTTTAACTTACAACATCTGGTTCTTTGGATCAATGTTATGTGGATCATGGGTCGTTTTGGTGCTTGTTTGGTACGTGGTATAGGTACATAGTACGATACTTTTTTAAAAATGCGACTCTTATGTAAATCCTTTTCACTACTATACAATATTATATATTACAAAACATTCATAAATACTAAGTTAGTTATCATTTATCTTATAGTTGTGCATGATTTTCTACTATCTAAAATAATATATAATTATAAATTTATATACATGTAGTTAATTAATATATATTTTGTATTTGTACTACATGTTCTAAAGCGAATTGATTTAGAGTTAGTATTATAATTTAGGGTCGTCTATTTTGGTGACCTAAATTGCAAACTCACCTCGTTTGGAATTAATGTATCTAAATCGTGAGTTGTTAAGGGTTTAGTGAATTATGATAACTTTGCTTTGGGTACATAGAGAATATTTGCCCTGAGCTGTAGGGTTGTTGTAAGTTGTAACTCCTTTGTATTGTGGCATTTTACCTTACTCTCTTGCTATCTTTGGTTTGGTTTAGGTGCAAGGACAATTTAACTGTTGAATGTTACAATTGAGATGAATTATTATAGAATTTCACAATAACAGAATGATTGGGATGAGCTGAAGTTGGATTTTGTAAATTTTTGTATCCAAATGCGCTCTAACCTCAATTTTGGCTTGTCTACTTTTCAATTTTGGATTTCTCATAATCTCATAAACTAGACTTTCTGATGCTACTGGAAATCTAGTGCGCATCTTTGGCCTATTCATGATTCTTTGCGACCCCTTAAATGCTTATAAATTATGTGGTGATGTGCGTCAGTTATGTGACTTGCCTATGATAGCATAATCCTTGGACATTCTCCTTGAGTTGTCATGGAATTCATATCTAATTGCTTATTGATGTGAGTGTATGGATGTTTGATTTTCTTTTACATAATCATAGTGTGCTAAGATCATAGGGATTCTAGTCATAGAAACAGTCTATCTATATTCGGAGTAAGGTTGCGTACATTTGACTGTCTCTTGACCTCCCAATGATGGGAGACTCGTGCACTAGGCTACCCTATTGTTCCATTTGGAGAATTAGGTTGGAGCTCTTGGGAGGATCTGAGCAGACTATGCTCAAATTCATGCAATTTTTTGTTGTCGTCCTTATTGTTTTGGTAATTTGGAAACAAGCTCATTTCTTTAGATCTTTTGTAGAGTCTTTGGAGGGTTTAATTTTTTCAGATGTTGTAGTTTCATTGATTTTCCTTGTAACTATTATTTAGCTATCTTTTCTTTTTTACAATCATTTAACTATCGCTGCCTATCTTGAAAAATAGATACATAAAAAAAGGAAATGACACATTTTCTGGTTCAAAGATTATCGAGCTAATTCTGCTTTGGCCTTCTTTATTCAATCATTTTCTTTAGGAATGGCTCCTGCAATGATCTTCTATTGAATAAGATGTTTCCAATCTAGGGATGAATGCAGTTCATGCTTCCATTGTAGCGGTTCTCTTGCATTTAGTCTAGGCTAGGACTCGCACCATCCCATAGGACTCTAATGGAGTTATTTGAAAATTGGCAGTTTTTATAAAGGCAACATTTCTGATATGGAATATAAGTAAAGATGGATACTAGTTTTCTGGGGCAACACATCTGGAAATTCAAAGTTTAATATTTGTTGCACTAGTCTTCCCACCCTTTATGAAGCTGCATGTTCAATTTCTCAGGGTGACTTTCATTTCTGAGTGTCTCTCTCTCACTCAGTGTATGTGTGCATGTTTGCGCGCGCCTGTGTTTGTGTGATGGCAAGAGCATCCCTCTTTGCCCTGTGGGTGGGAACATTAAGGCAAAAAAATACCACAAACACAATGATGAAGGCAAAGAACAAAAGTGGATACCGGCTCGTAAAAATATCTACGTTGATTATTAGTTATATCTTGGAATTACTTGATCTTGAGATTGTCTTTTGCATAACTAACTGTGAGTTTTCTTTTAGGAGATTTGGTGCTAATTAGGAGCTACATGTTTCCTTTCTCTTTGCACTTGACCTTTGCAATAATACTTCTCAAAATGGGGGAACAACGGTGAGGTGGACATAAAATATGAACTAGAGCATCTAATTATCATTACATCCCGTAGATGCCTTTTAGGTGAAGAAGTTCGTAATAAGCTCTTTGATGACGTGTTGGCTCTCTTCCATGATCTCGATAGTGGTATGCTCCCCATCAGTGTTATCTTCCCATACCTTAGGATCCCATCCCACCGCCGCGATGACCAAGCTTGCAAGAAGCTTGCAGATATATTTGCTACCATTATAGCTTCCCGTAAACAAACTGGCAAGTCAGAAAATGACATGTTATAGTGCTTTATGGAGTCCAAGTACAAAGATGGTCACCAAACAACTGAGTCTGAGGTCACTGGCATGCTTATTGCTGCTCTCTTTGCCGGTCAGCACACTAGTTCCATCACTTCCATCTGGACTGGGGCATACCTCCTCCGTCACAAGGAATACATGACTGTTGTGTTGGATGAGCAGAAGAACCTGATGAGAAAGCATGGGAACAAGGTTGATTATGATCTCTTGTCTGAGATGGAAGTCTTGTATCGGTGCATAAAGAAGCTCTGAGACTCCACCCTCTTTTGATAATGCTTTTGCGTAGCTCACATAGCGATTTTAGTGTTACAACCAATGAAGGGAAAGAGTATGACATTCCGAAGAGCCATATTGTGGCCACATCTCCTGCTTTTGCCAATCGACTTCCACATGTATATAAGGATCCAGATTCATATGACCCTGACAGGTTTTCTCCTGGGAGAGAAGAAGATAAGGTAACTGGGGCATTCTCTTATATATCTTTTGGTGGTGGCAGGCATGGTTGTCTTGGGGAACCATTTGCATATCTGTAGATAAGGCAATATGGAGTCACTTGTTGAGAAATTTTGAGTTGGAACTGATCTCACCTTTTCCAAAGATTGCCTGGAATGCTATGGTCGTGGGTGTAAAAAGGAAGGTTATGGTGCAATACAAGGGCAGGGAGCTTTCTGTTAGCTAACTAGTAACCAAATGGTTGCCAGATCATTGTGAATGCTTTGGCTGTTTAAATTATGCGCTTGGCCTCTAGGTTGCCATTACCCCTTTTTTGATATGTTGATTTCAGTGTCCATGTCTTTCCCTTAATTTGTGTTTCTTCAATTGACTTCTGAGTTGTTTTTATTGGATTGTGGTAATTTTAGTTTGTATTGGAATTAGTTTCATCTTATTGTTATGCTTTCATGATGTTAGTAATTTCTAGAAAATTGGTTTTGTTGACTTTGTGTCCAACCTTGGGGTGTTCTTGTTGAGTTTGATTTGATCCTATGATAATCTACAATCATATTTCATTAGTATACAGTGGCACCACACCACCTTGGAAAAGCAATGGACAAAACCAATTGCCCTTCGATGCAGAAGCCTTTGAACGGGTCCTTTTAGGCATTTCAGCCCTCTGACGCACAACTTGTCTTGAAAAGGCTAAAAACAACTGATCGTGCTTATTGTGCCCCTTTGGAGCGTAGAAATCAGAGATAGAGGTCTAAGATTTAAGGTAATAGGTGATAATCCTAGTCCTAATAGCTGTTGCATTATAGTATTAATCACAATATATAATTGTTGAGTGTCCATTTAAATTTCTGATACGCAGTATTGGATGGAGTTCCAATTCCTGTCTATTATCCATAAAAGAGACCAAAAGTTCCTTCTTTTACGAGTAATGGAATCGTGGTTTATCTGATTCCGATTCCAGACAATTGCACATTGCTAAGGACTTTCATTCGACAAAGAATGAGGTCCATTTGTTCATAATACCAAGCTTTTTGTGTTCCTTTTATCTTTTTACTATGCATTTGTGCCCCGAAATACACACACGAGGAAATAATAAATCCACAGTCCACACTCACACTTTTACCACCAGGTACCTGTACACCATGAAATTGTCAGGAAAACGTACACGCTATATACTCTATCACCATGTTGAGATAGGCTATCATGCCTTGACATAAAATAATGGGCCTTAGCAACATTACTTGTCAAACTTTCTTACTTTCAATCTTTGATTTTGTTGTGGTAGGTACCGACCAGTTTTGATAATAGTAAAATGGATGAATCTTCCGTGACAAATTCAATTTGCAGACCAGATCAAGTTCGAGAGTATTTATAAAAATCTTGCTAAATGAGAATTATAAAAACCCAACAATTGTTCGCTCGCTCGCAAGCGTATGTCGATTCATCATCAACAATCACAAGAAAAAGAATTTGATTTGGTTGATCGAAGTCAATGTCCATGTACACAACTACGAATGCCTTTATAGTCGAGAGTCTAATAAGAGTTTCAATGTCTCAAAAGAAATCTCAGACAGCTTTAAGTTCTTGCTGAAAAGTCAAGAAATTGAGCCCTTTCTCAAATGACACTTGTCATACATACAGTCATCTGTGAACAAGCAAAAAATAGAGCAAAAAAATTCTCTGGTT